CAGGCTTCTGTTCTCAAACCTCAGCTGCTCTGGAGACAGTATTCCTCATACTTTCTGCTGATCTGTGGTCTTACTCTTATGGTTAATGACTCTTTTACTAGCTGTCAGATTCTTAGATAATTCTTGTATTTAATAAGAAGCATAATCATGAATATGCCATGGTCAGGGAAGACTGCCAACTACTGGAATTTTGATCTTCATAATTTTTATTCTATCTTCATTAGTAAATTGATTAGTTGCATGTACTATGAAAAAAAGAAGGAAGAAAGCTGACAGTCATACATCTAACCAGGATGCTTGCCAACTTGAAAATGCTGCTGGTTGAAGGAAAATGAGATTTTTAGGGAGGCTGGAACATGTGAGTCAGATGTCATAATTTGCAGAGCCTTGACAATGAAATGAAGTTGCCACCCACCCAGTTTAGCACTGGCATAGCATGGGATAAGGTGTTTATATAAAAGTGAGCAGTTTATGAACAACACAGAATTGTTTTAATTAACTATGGCTGTAACTGCATGCCATAACTGCACTGAATTGAAATTGCAGCAACTATTACTACTGCATTTTAAAAATGGTTCCAGTGCATGGTTTTAAACACTGTAATAGGGCTTCTACCATCAGGCAGCTAATGTTAGGAGGTTTCCTGGCTACTGACAGCATAGGAAGGATGGCAGCAAAGTTTTCACCAATGCAACATGCACTGGAGTGGTCCCTTAGGCAAGAACAAAGTTGTCACCTGATGAGTGCTGGGAGGCTTCCAGGCTACTTTGGCAAGGACCAGCCTGTAGCAATGTCCTTGCCAGGCCTGGCAGGCAGCTATAGCAGCTCCATTTTCACTGTATGTTGAGTGAGTGGGCACTTTTGTTGTTGTTGTTTAGTCGTTTAGTCGTGTTCGACTCTTCGTGACCCCATGGACTAGAGCACGCCAGGCCCTCCTGTCTTCCACTGCCTCCCAGAGTTGGGTCAAATTCATGTTGGTTGCTTCGGCGACATTGTCCAACTATCTCGTCCTCTGTCGTCCCCTTCTCCTCTTGCCCTCACACCTTCCCAACATTAGGGTCTTTTCCAGGGAGTCTTCTCTTCTCATGAGATGGCCAAAGTATTGGAGCCTCAGCTTCAGGATCTGTCCTTCCAGTGAGCGCACAGGATTGATTTCCTTTATAATGGATAGGTTTCTTCTCTTTGCAGTCCAGGGGACTCTCAAGAGTCTCCTCCAGCACCACAGTTCAAAAGCATCAATTCTTCAGCGATCAGCCTTCTCTATGGTCCAGCTCTCACTTCCATACATTGCTACTGGAAAAACCATAGTTTTGACTATACAGACCTCTATTGGCATAGGTGATTTCTCTTCTTTTTAAGATGCTGTTGAGGTTTATCATCGCTTTCCTCCCAAGAAGCAGGCGTCTTTTAATTTCCCAGTTCCTTTTCTCAACCCTAAGGACCAAGCTGGTGATGGTCCCTCTTTATTTCGCCGCCACCAGAGGATTTCCTTATCCTCGCTATAAAGACCTTTGTTCTGACACTTGCTGCCAACAACAGAATTAGTTTTATTAAAGGGTATAAAGGGTAACTCAGAATCACAGATGGTCTTTATTCATTTTCATTAGATCACAATCATTGAAATATTATATTTTTTGTTTGACACTAGATCACTTCTTGTTTACTTATTTTCAGTTTAACCACTTTTTATTTATTAGTAACAATTCTCTCTCTATCTCTATCGATCTCTCCCTACAAACCTCACTCCTTCTTCTCTCTAACTCTCTAATTGACGAACTTCTGCCTCTGCCTCTCCTGGCCCCTCACTGGCTTATGCACATGAGGTTCCGCTGTGATTGATAGGAACTTGGGCATCCGTCACAGCTCCTGTCACCATCTGCAGTGATCATGGAGTCCAAGGAAGTAAAATCTGCCACTGCCTCCATATCTTCCCCTTCTATTTTCCAGGAGGTGATGAGACCAGTGGCCATGATCTTCATTTTTTTTGATGTCGAGCTTCAGACCATTTTTTGCGCTCTCCTCTTTCACCCTCATTAAGAGGTTCTTTAATTCCTTTCTGGCATCAGAGTGGTATCATCTGGATATCGGAGGTTGTTGATGTTTCTTCCGGAAATCTTAATTCCAGTTTGGGATTCATCCAGTCCTGCCTTTCGCATGATGTAGTCTGCATATAAGTTAAATAAGCAGGGAGACAATATACAGCCTTGTCGTACTCCTTTCCCAATTTTGAGCCAATCAGTTGTTCCACATCCAGTTCTAATTGTTGCTTCCTGTCCCACATAGAGATTTCTCAGGAGATAGATAAGGTGGTCAGGCACTCCCATTTCTTTAAGAACTTGCCATTTTTGGTTGTGGTCCACACAGTCAAAGGCTTTTGCATAGACAATGAAGCAGAAGTAGATGTTTTTCTGGAACTCTCTGGCTTTCTCCATAATCCAGCACATGTTAGCAATTTAGTCTCTAGTTCCTCTGCCCCTTCGAAATCCAGCTTCTACTTCTGGGAGTTCTTGGTCCACATACTGTTAAGCCTATCTTGTAGAATTTTGAGAATAACCTGAGTGGGCACTACCAGTGGCCAAGAAGCCTCCCAGCTCTGGCATGTCTTGCTTTTATGTGAGAAACTGAATTAAAACTTGTGTTTCAAATGGTTTTGTGGCTGTTTGGAGGTAACCCATAGTGGAAAGCTTACTGTGGGTTATTTGCAGACATGTAGTTCCTGCCCACAGTTTCTCTGCATCTAGAGACTCATCTAATGGCCACAACTACAGAATTCCTATACAGAAACATATTCAGAGATGTGCTCAACAGTGATCTTCTAAGTTTTAACACAAATAACTGGCAGCAAACATTATATGCTTGTTTTGAAAGGGGTTTCCCAATTTGCCAACAAATTTTAATGTCATACTGGTACAATCCATTTAAAGTATGCAAAAATGCTTCCTTTATATTACTGTTTCCACCCTGGTTTTCACGAAAATGTGGTGTTGTTCTTTTTAGGGATGCCATGGGGGAACCACATGATTGCCACATGTTTATATGACTACCAGCCCTGCTTTAATCATCTCATACTTCTAATTAAAAAGGAACCATTCACTCTCTTATGTAATAAATCTGTTAATTAACATCTTAGTTTTGTTCATGTAATAAACTTTTCCTACGGCAAAGATTTAACAGCACTACTGGTGGTGTTAAATCCTTTCCCTTACAATAAGAAACCAGATAATATATTTCTATTTAATGACTACAGTGAGCTTATTTTGGTCACACAGAGTAAATGTTTTATAGTTAATCGAACATTCTTACGTGTTTTTCTGAGGATTATATTAAGCACCATAGAGGCAGCTGTATGAACCCAAACAGAGCTGGGAGAAATTACTTTTCTGAAACACAAATCCCACAATATCCTAGCTAGCATAATATTTGGGCGTAATGGCTGAGGGATTCTGGGAGCTATTCAAACGGGTAACCTGTCAAAGTTCTGGAGCTACACCTTGCCATTTTAAGAGAGGAATATAGGTTGCCATATTGTTTCATCATGAATCAGCTGATATGAATCACAAAAAATGTCCTGGTCTTGCTTCTAAACTTCTAAAGTAGTTCTTGCATTAAGCTCTTCAGTGTATCATCAAGGCTTGACAAACAAACAAAAATCCAGTAAAGGAAGTCTGTATTTTCACACACAGTTTAGTGAGCAATATTATCATTACTAATCAAACGGACTTTACTGATAATCACAGTGGACACAACATGAAGAGATGTCAAAGGAAGTTTCCACAAACATAGTAAAATCCAGATGGATGAGAATCTGGAAACTAACTCATAAGCAAGACAAAACAAGAGAGAATATTACAGCAATTAAGCCAAGGGGACAAAATGATATGACATAATTGTCTTTTAGCCAGGAATGGAAGCAAGGGATTATCTGAAGAGTGATATATATATCCAAGTTCCAAAATTTTATAGTGCAACAGAAACAGTAGTCTTGTGACATAAGTATCCATGTAAAAATTTGAAATAGCATTGATCCAACTTGTCTTCGTAACATGTCAGCTCTCTCAAGAAGTGAAAAATTATCATAAGAACATAAGAAGAACACTGCTGGATCATGCCAAGGGCCCATCTGGCCCACCTTCTTGTATCTCAATTAGATGTTTATATACTTGATATGTAAGATTGAATGATTATGCATTTGATGTTTTCTTATTCTCAAAACCCTTTTTCCATCCCCCCCACTGCCCTTTGCCTTTTGTATTCCTTCCCCATTACCCAATAGTTTTGAAAATAAAATTAAAAAAAAAAATAGAAATCTGTCCAATCCCCATTTAAAGGCATCTAGTCCATATGCCATCACCACATCTTGTGGCAAGGAGTTTTTATTGTGTCTTGATCAGATATAAGAAATAAAATGAAAATACTGTACCAAAATCAGGAAACAAACATATGCATTACCTCCATACATGTACCAGTGGACAGCACAAAGGGGGGAAATGCCTGTGCTTCCAGCACTGTCTGATGAAGTGGACGTACCCATGAAAACTCACATTAAAAAAATATAAAAGTTAGCCTTTAAAGCGCCACCATGTTTTTGTCTTTTTTAAACTTTTTATTTCTATTTTGCTTTTAACTATAATGTTTGAACAGACTAACATGGCTACCCCTTCTACAACTACAACTGTTTCCAAATGCATCCTTTAACTGGAAGCAAATACTTTAACTCTTAAATTGTTCATATTACTAATAGCATAATTCTGAGAGTACAAAATGTCTTCATTTTCCATTTCCATGATGGAACATAACTCTCCATATACTGAAAGAAAATCACATTTGAAATGCTTCAGTAGTTGAATAGAAATCCAACAATCAAATCAGAGTGACCTTCCTAGCTTTTGCCAATATGTGTTCCTGTAGTTATTATTTATGGATACAATAAAATTATGGTTTACATACCTCAATTTCTGTTCATCTCTAGAGTACAAATAGGATCTCAAAGCAGTTCTTACCTTGAACTGTTAAGGTTGCTGATGCTTCTGCTTTTCCCACCATATTTTCTGCAACACAAGTATAAGAACCCATGTCTCCTGCCATAACTTTTCGAATTTTCAAGGTGTGATCATCACGGATTTCATATCTTAAAACAAGGGACAGATATAGATCAGAATGATTTGGCTCATCATTGCCTCCTGAGATTGAAATAAAAAAACCTGTAAACTACCAAAATTTTCTGTATCAATTGGCCAAGGTCAGTAAAGTGAAACATATATGATCAGTGCATAGATACTTTTTCTCCAATACCTTACATTAACAATCATTTTTTGTGAGAGAAATATTCATGAGTGGTAGCAGCAGTAGTAACAATAATAACTTAGCAGCATCAGCAGGCTGAAACTGGTGTTTGCAGCTTTAAGTGATTAAATATAGAGTCTATTAAAATTTGCTAATATGTCAGGTAAAGCAGCAATAGGCAGACCTTCTCCCTGTACTACTGTTATTTCCTAGACTGCCTCAGACCAAACTCCAAGCCAGACAATTGGTCAACACTTTATCTGCATCTAGAGACTCAGGTTAAAGATGTGAAGTTCCTAACACTGAATGTGGGTGGTGATGGAAATGTTTTGTACATTTAAAAGCACAAGAGCATGATCCAAGGACTTGTGCCTACTTGTTACATGCTCCATAAATGTTGAAGTAGCACACTAATGGGGTGGAAGAGTATGAAGGAGATGCAAGCATTCATTTTCCTTTTATGGAAACACACATCCATCTCTTCTATTTCTAAGAGTTCAATTCTATGCCTCTTTACTCCCTATTATGCTCAGTGGAGCTTAATACCAGTACAGTATATTTAAAATTGTAACCAAAGAGCCTGCAAGATCTGTAGGTTGTGAGACTTGCTTTTAATAAGGGATGTGCACACACATTGCCTCAAACATAATATCAAGCTGTCAAATTCCAAAACAAAACAAGACAACAACAAGAACTACCAAACTCCAGCACACAGAACATTTACAAGATTTGATGTGATGAGAAGGGAAATGAAAAGTAGCAGTGAGAGAGAAATACTTTGAATGAGAAGGAATGTTCATTCTCCAAAATCTTTCCTTACTCAGATAATAAAAGGTTTATTATTGCACTATATGTATTAATTGACTTATCAAGCCCACAGTATCTTCAGCTCCAATAGCTGAATTTCTGAATGACCACTGTTTATCATATAATTTTCTCTTTGTATTTTCTGCAACTCCCTCTGTATTTGTGATCCTGTGTGTGTGTGTGTGTATTTCTAAAGAAAATCCAAAAAACCCTTGTGCGATAATAAATGTGTTTTTCTTTCAGGCAAGATTTGTGTGTGTGTGTGTGTTTTACTACAACAAAAGAATATGCTAATGCCTCTGTATATACAGACACACAGTAAATCAAAGACCAAACCTTGTTCTAATTTATTTTGAAAGATGGAGAATTTTTACTGTACCTTCCTTTAGGTAGTTCTCCATCATCTTTTCGCCATCTTACTGTTGGCACTGGGTCACCGCGTGCCTCACAATTAAACTCTGCACTGTCATCAACAGTTACTGCCAAATTACTTGGTCTCTTCACAAAGGATGGTCTTTCTAAAGTTAAGAACAAGACAAAATGCGGGAAATAGAGATCACACCAAAAGAAATCATGATAAAATTATACATGTAATCTCCAATGTACAATTTTATGGACTGAAGAAATGTAGGGAATCGTGAGAGTTTAAAAAAGAAAAGTGATGGAAAAATTAAACTTCTTTTATATTTGCACCAAAAAAAAAAACCCACACTGAACAGAGGATAGTAGAACACCAGACCAGCTGGTCTGCAAGAAATTCACGATTTTGAGATTATGCCCAAGAAATTAAACAGGTTTGTGGATACTAGACATATGTCTGGCTGCAAAACCAGATCCGTGATCTCCTCCTTTGTCCATTCTTCCTAAATGGAGAAGGAATCAATACTACAGACTAGTACAGCTTCTTCCATCCAAGGAAAAATAGGCTCATACAGCAAAGCATTAAAAGGCTGCTGCAAGATAATAAAGAGTGAGTATATAGATAACAGATATCACTTGAATACCCAGAAATAGGGCATCAGATGACATGAGAATGCATTCCGATAGGGAACTATGCGCTGAACTATAAGCTCCATGATTTCCACAGTGACATCCACAGTGTGGTCCTTGCATCATGCCAGGTTATCACCTATGGGATGGGGCGTTAGGCTTAAAAACTGATTCATGAATGTTAATAACCATTGACAGTTGAGGATGATGGGTCTTTAGTCCATCAGCATTTGTGACTCAAGACTGGGTATTCTATTCTGGGACACAGTCATTTGCATGTCTAAATATTGTACTCCTCTATCCTGACCAGAATATTGATTAACAAGATTCAATATAATATTCATCTGCCAAATCTGTATTTATTTGTAACTTCTTAAATATAAACAATCCCATACCTAAAACTGTGAGCTCTGCTACTTCACTCTCTCTTTCCCCCACCATGTTTGTTCCAACACAGACGTATTTGCCTGCATCATTTTTTCTGGTGTAGGTGATCATCAGCTTTCCTCCTCTGATCTAGAACAAGAAATACATTAATAACAACAAGTAACAACTTCTCTATAAAACTTCAACCTAGGGTATAAAAATAACCTTGCACACAATTTAAAAAAAATTATAAATGGTTAAGCATTCTGGAATCTTATGCTATACTTTCTAACAGATCAATAAACCAGTAAATCAGTCGCTTGAAAATAGCTGTGTTCAGATCCAATCCTTGAGGTATGAGAGGTCCATCTACAAATGTTCCCCATTCTGTTCTATCTTCTAAAGCAGTCTACTCTGGGACGTAGTGGCACTGTGGGCTAAACCGCAGAAGCCTTTGTGTGCTGCAGGGTCAGAAGACCAACAGTTGTAAGATCGAATCCACGCAACGGAGTGAGCTCCCGTCGCTTCGTCCCAGCTCCTCACCAACCTAGCAGTTCGAAAGCATGTAAATGCGAGTAGATAAATAGGTACCATCTCGATGGGAAGGTAAACAGCATTCCGAATCTAAGTTGTGCTGGCCACGAGACAACGGAAACTGTCTTCGGACAAACGCAGGCTCCACAGCTTGGAAACGGGGATGAGCACTGCCCCTTAGAGTTGAACACGACTGACTAAAATGTCAAGGGGAACCTTTACCTTACCAACATTTATTCCCCTACTGGAAGATTTAATAATGGATGTTATATTTTGATGGCACGTCACCATGTATTCACCTTGGGCAGCGGGGAATGCTCTAGCCTCAACCCCACTCCCCTTTGTTTCCAGTTTTATTGCCCTCCGCCTTCTAGTGAGTTATGAATGGGTAGAGCAAGGGTGAAGAGGAAGAGAAAAAGCTTGAAAGTTTTGAAAACATTATTATTAAATAGGTCTTATGTCAGTATCATAATGCCAATCTCATAGTGCCAATTTGTACTTGGATTTAATTTAATTTATCGCTTATTTACCTATAGTGAAAAGTATAAAAATATTGGTAATATTAGTAGAGAGGTACAAATACTCTTTTGAACACATTAGGTTTCCTTGGGAATACAAATTTAAAATATAAAACTAATGGATATTCTTCAATATGACATATCTTTCTTGTGCAACAGAAGTGAGTACATTATTCACAATCTACTATTACATAATTCTTTCTTGTTTCTAAACTAAATTTTTCATAATATGAATATTCCATGAAAGATGGAGGGCACTTAAAATATAATTTCGAATGTATTATTTATTTATTTATTAGATTTCTGTCCCACCCAGAGTAGACCTTTGGTCCAGATGGGCGGGATAGAAATTCAATAAATAAATTAACAAACAAATAATACATTCAAAATTATATTTTAAGTGCCCTCCGTCTTTCATGGAATATTCATATTATGAAAAATTTGATTTAGAAATAAGAAAGAATTATGTAATAGTAGATTGTAGTAAATTTACTACTAACTCCTCTGATTGAACTCAATGGGAAAATTACTCAATCAAGGTGTACTATTTCATCAGTACTGGTGTACATAAAACTGGGCTGGAGTTTTATGTTATTGGCTGCCTTTTTAAAGAATACTTGGATTATATTTCATTTATGGAAATATATATGAGACCTTCTTAATAAATATTATTGGCACCTACAAACTACTTTACAGAGTACCATTATCCTCAGATTTCTCAAAGGTTTGTTATGGATAAAAAAAGGAATCCATAAGATATTAATTGACACTGATGACAATTTTTGCTGGACAAAAAATTTTAGAGCCATAATTCTTGGAACAAGAGTTTTGGAATTAGAAAAACGTTTAAGAATATTTCAGCACCTCTTAAAATATTGAGAAGGCAACTGCCCAGGCTTTGCTAGTGTTGTAGACTGAAACTGATTCTACAGCTCAGATGGCAATAGGTATAATTTTAGCTCAGTAAGGCAGAGTCCGTATTGCTACTGATAACAAAATAATACAACATGAACTCGACCTATTATACAGTGGGGTCTCTACTTAAGAACGTCCCTACTTAAGAACAATCCAACTTAAGAACAGCTCCATTTGCTAAATTTTGCTTCTATGTGAGAACAGAAATCCAAGATAAGAACAGGAAAAAAACCTTTCCTGCTCTTTTTTTAACCTTAGGTCATCTTAGGTTAAAAAATTTTTTCCCCCTAGTGGTAGAGTACGTATTAACCAGCTTTGCATTCGTTCCTATGGGAACTAATGCTTCAGTGTACGAACGCACCTCTACATAACAAAAAAAACCAGCCAGAACAGATTAATTGGTTTTCAGTCCATTCCTATGGGAAATTTTGCTTCAACTTAAGAACGTTTCAACTTTAAGAACACCATTCCAAAACAGATTAAGTTCTTAAGTAGAGGTTCCCCTGTAGTTTCTATGGATGGAAAAGAGCAGATACGGATTAAATGGTTTTCAATGCATTCCTATGGGAAATGCAGATTCAACATCAGAACTTTTCAACTTGAGAACCACCTTCCAATACGGATTAAGTTCTTAAGTAGAGACCCCACTGTATCAAGTACAGTAGCAGAATTCGCAGATGCAACTAATTTCTGGTCATAGATACTAAATTGAAAAGAATGGCTGAGAGAAGCCTCTTTTAAAACTACTTTTTATTGGATTATTATTTTTCATAATAGGCTATATCTGTATTTCCTGTAGTTGCCAACGTGTAACTTTATTGCATCACACTTGCCAAACAAATTATTTTCCTAAACCTTCCCCAAAAATTATAGATCTGTGTGAGACTGATCATGAATGCATGGTAGCAGATGGATAGACTTTCACAGATGAAAGAATCTGAAATGGTTAAGAAAATAAAGAGAAGAATGAAGGTGCAGAGAGAGAATATAGAATGTGGAAGTTATAAGCAAGTGTTGTAACTGGGCATCAGAACAGATACAGAAGTTTGTATTCACTGACTTAGGTCAAAAAGAGGCATTAAAATAAATAAAGCATTTCCTGATCTGAGTCTAAAGGCCTAAAAGGAGACCTGCTTTTCATTACTTGTTTTTACTTATGCATTCCTGCACATGCTCAATTGTCACTTTGGATCTTTCCACTAGGAGCTATAAAAGAGTAACCAGTTTGACTATTTGGCAAGACCAACTTTTCACATATACTGTGTGTATTAGTGTTTCTCCAATTTCAAAAGCAATAAAGTTTTCTTGTTTTATTACTGTGATTCACTCTGCAACTCTCAGCCACGGAACACAAGCTGTGCTGAAGGACTATCCTTCCCCAACAAGAGCTCCATGCTATATGTGGTAATCCTCCATGTGAAAATCTCTGATTTTCCAGAGTCCCAACTCATTTGGAGAGTCCCTACAGAGCTTCACTTCAAACTAACTGCCCTCCACATGTAAGAGAATTACAAAATTGAACATGGAGGGATGTGACTAGAGAAATCCCCACTATCCATGCATACACATAAAGAAAATAGAAGGTTTATTCTTTAGCAACATATACAGCTTTACACAAAACTGAAACCTTTCACCATATTTAGGGAACTGGGGTGTGAGGGTCCTTTTCAAAAAGCAGCTGACATACTTCTCTCAATATATTAGATATTTATGTCTTTATTGTAAGTGATCAAAGGAAATCAATTCAAACATCAAGAATGCCACTCTCCTGATTTCACAATGCAGCTTGTGTGATGAAACGTGAAAGTCTTTTGCACACATTGGAAAGGCTCTTATGCATGTCACCAATTACTAAAACTTCTTGCCCGTCACAAAAGGTGATTTTCAGCTCCATCTATCAGTTCAGATTCATTTCAAACTGGTGAGCCAGTGAAAACTATTAACTCCTACAGTTAAATAATACAGGCAGTGGATTTCCTACTTTGACCTGCAACCAAAATTCTAATCCCATCTGATTTTAACAGAGGAAGTGTGTCTGTAATAATCACAGCTTGGAAATAACAAGCTTTGTAAAATATCCAGCTATCCCCCTCCTTTTCAAAAATAGCATTTTAGGTACGAAACCTATTTTTAGTTTGTGCCACTTCTGCAGAAAGAGGTCACACTATCACCTATAGTTTGAAATAGAACTATCTTGGCTTCCTTCTGAGTGACAAAAGGGGTTAAAGGAAAACTAGTCCCACAGACAAAAGGAATTCTGAATATCTATCTCCTTACAAGAGTCTGTAATTCCACTGGGTGCTAAAAAGATGATACAAAAATACAGTACCATCTCTTCCTTTAATCCCACTTTACTGGATAATTTCCAGCCAGGCTCTAACATTTAATTCCTGCACAAAGTCCTTGAGCATATAGTTGCATCCTTGCAATAGTTTTCCTGAATGAGGCACAATATTGGAATCTATTTGAATTGACCTTCACTTTCATACTATGGGACAGTCACATTGGTTTACTTTCAGAAGTGCATCCCTGTACACAGTGGTGGGATTCAGCAGGCCAACAAACGGTTCTGCAGAACCAATAATACATTAGCTACCGGTTCTGTAGAACTGGTGCGAACCTGCTGAATCCCACCACTGCCTGTACAGCTCCCAGTACCGCTGACCATGGTGTCCTTCAGCAGCAGCTGAGTTTGCCCTTAGTGCCATTGTTTTGTGGTGTCTTGGTTCTTCTCACAGCACTGGCTTATTCGCTTATTCATTTAAACATTTTAATTCCGCCTTTCTCCTTAAAAGGACCTAAGGCAGTTTACATAATTAAAAGACAATATTAAAACTAACAACTGTGAGTATAGTGAAAAGGATCAAACAAATGCCATGCTAAGAAATATAAGTAACACCAAAACACATTGAAAGTAGTAGCATACAACAATCCACTTAAAAAACCCCACTCAGGCAGCCAGAAACTCAGGAAAAGTTGCCTGAAGAAAAAGATTTTTACCTGCTTGTGGAAGGACAGTCAGAATGGGTCTAACCTAGCCTCTTGTGGGAGGGAGTTCCAAAGTCTAGGAGCAACAGCAGAGAAGGCCCTCTCCCGTGTATGCACCTAATACACTTGTGAAGGTGGTGGGACCAATAGAAATGCTTCTCCTGATGATCTTAATACTGAAGCAGGTTCATAAAG